TAAAAAAGTACATGGGAGATTGTTTGTTGTTTGTTACTGGGTTGTGGTTTTTTCTAACTGATCTCACTTTTCATTTCATTGGATGTGAAACAAATTTCATATAAATACCTAATTGAATTTTTTTTTTTGGTAGCTGTAAGTCAAAATAACAAAACATGTCTGTAAATAGTAAATAAAACCTTTTAATAATAATAACAAATGATATTTATAGCGCCCAATCCAGATTAAAGTACACAGGCTCTGGGCGCTTTATAATACAATAGAATGCACAACAGTAACATAACATGTGTTCTGACTAAAAGAAAATCACTCCACATGTTCATCTTATTAATTTAAAAACAGAAATGACTTCAGCTGACATTTGAATGAATCAAAGGATTTGATCTCTCTTATGGTACTTGGTAAAGCATTCCGGATCCTGGGGCCTTGATATTAAAATGCCCTTTCACCTATTGTTTTAGGTTTCATAGATGGTAAAACAAATTTCTTTTTGTCAGCTGATGACCTTAAACTGGGAACTGGAATGTACAGTCACAACTGTTTTGATAAATTTGAGGGCGCATTATCGTTCCAGCATTTGTGACATAGGGTGGCCAACTTGTACACAATTCTTTTCTCATATTTAAAGTTTGGTGAATGGGAAAAACATTCAAATTATGAATAAATTGAGAGAGTTTGAATGATCATGTAACAACTGTGGGTACAGCACAATTTGCTTGATAACATTTGTTGTGTAAGCTCAGGCTTAATTTTGAGTTGAGAGTTATGCTGTACTCACTGTATTTGACTGATGTTTTTATTTTCATACTATATGCCATTGGTGTCTGTGGATATTCTCTTCACCTTGCTTTCAAAAAGTGTTGGTTCGATTTCTATGTGGGGAAAGATGTTTAATCAAGTGTCTCTGTTATTCTACCAGTTTGACCATAAGGATCCGAGTCAAATCAGCCTGCCTCGTGTGCGATCTAAATTATGTGAATGGAGATGTAAAACATTCTAACATTTTCATTTCATTTTATAGTAGGCCTATTCTTTCAGAAGAAAGTCAGTTCGAGTCTATGTGATGTAACACTTTGAAATCTAAGGTACGCTTCATGTAGCTTTTTGTTAAAGCGACTGCTCGTGCTGAAATAGCACTTATTGACTGTCCATTTTGATATATTCACACTTGTTCAGGATGACCATCCATTGTCAAAGAGAAAAGTGGTTAACCCAGACAGGTTGGACAGCATCATTATAATATTTAAAAAGCATAAGGGGAGATGTTAAAGGTGATTGTTTGTACAGGTTATTGTTAGACTGTATCTCAATTGTCACACTTTGTGTCATCAATGCTATAATTCTTTTAAGCTAAGGTAGTCCAACTTGGTTTATTGTGCTCTTTACTATGCTTTTTGCTTGTAGAATTTCCCATGCAATCTGTACAATTTATCAACCACATTCATGTATGCTCATGACCGTATCCCTATTTATCAGCCTTCTTTCCAAAGAATTAAGTCAAATTGTGTACCAATTACTGGAGCTTAGACAGACTGATGGTTCTTATTTACTGTTTACTTTTACATTGATTGGGGCAATTCTCTGTATAGCAACTGTGACTGCCCAACCTTTTATTTTGTCTTTCAGAATTCCTTGTGTAAGGGTACATCTTTTTTTTTTTCAAAACTACTGCACAAGCATCATGCTTCATGTCATTTGGCTGATTTCTCCTTTTTTTTTCTCTGTAACATTATTGTACTCATTCAATATTATGTATTTTACAAACCAGTTTAGCTCCACTGAGGTTGGAGAGTTCCACTGGTACTGGCTGTACTTCTTTACTATTTCCCAGTGTTATCTGTCTGCTCCTCCTGCTTTTCCCAGCAGTTAATGACCATTATTGTGTAGGCATGCTTCTCTTTTCCCCTAACCATGCTTCTATTTTCCACAAACGGAAGTCACTCTGTTTTAAATCTGCTCGAACTGTGATCCTTGCAATATTTCATGCTGATGGGTGGGTGGAGGGTGCCACTGAAAAGTACTCTCCCACTGTTGTTTATGTTTATCTGTCTTGCTTTTTACCTGCACTTAGTGGCCATCATTCAGTTGATGTGCCTCTCTTTACTCAAACTCAGTATGTTGAGAGAACACTTGCTGTTGGAATAGAAGATTCAATTGATCAAGCTATTTCTTTTCTTTCCCTCTCTGTTTTTTCTGTCCATCTATTTTGCTCTTTCCCTACACATAATGATAATTACTGTGTCAATCTGCATCCCTTTACTCAAACAAATCAAACAATATAGTAGTTGAGAGTTTTCTGGTACAGTCTGTCCCTTCTTCTCCTTCCTGATCATTGCTACTGCTACTTGTACGACTAATATTTAGATCAATGCATGTGGTTAGAAGGCATTACTGGCACATCCTAACTGTTTGTCTTGCTTTTTTTCCACTCTTTAACTCAAACTAAATGATATGTTTCTTGTAAAATACGATTTTTGTCATGTTGATCCGTCCAAGAGAATCCAATGAACTGTTAACAGGAGTAGGTAGATAGTGTAGAGCTCTTCAATCAGTAAAATTATCCATCCTTCAGTCATATTGTTTGTCAGGTACTGGATGATGAATGGCCTGATGACTTTAATAAAGGACAAAATATTAAAAGAAAATTGATAGTTGCTTCATACTTTACTATCGGCTAATTCTATTTTCTGAGGGGACAAAATCATGTTGGAATTCTCATATAGTCTTCCTTGAGCAGAAGGCAGAAGGAAATTACAAATCTAAGTTAAGATAGTTCATGGTACATAAGAAAGATTGTTTGAGGAAAAGATTATGTCAAAATAACAGGAGATGACGTTTGAATTGAAAAACAAAACACAACAGAATAATAATGTTTGCATTAGGAAATTTAATTTTTCATTATTTAAATGATTGATTTTTCAGTTCTGTGCAATTGATTATAATGTATTTGAATTCAATTGAACATCCTGTAAATTGTTATTTATTTATGTCATTGCTCAAATACTGTGACTTCTCTGTTTTACTTGGTTGTGGACAACAATTTTTCCTTGACTGTTATTACCGTAGCGAAGTGCTCTTTATGGCAAATAAAAATAATGATACAGTAGTTGAGAAAAATCCATCACAAATGTGTCCTTTGTTCTTTTGAAATTACATGTATAACTTTCCTTCATTGTTATTGCCACTAGGTGTCATTTTTCTCATTGTTATCCTTATTGTGAGGGAGAGGTGGGTGTGGGAGGGAGGTGGGTGGGAGAGAGAAAGATCATTCCAGGGTCTGCAACTTTTCTCAGTCTTGTATTGACTTAATATGCAAACAAAATACAAGGGTGGGTTTCCTAGTGTATGATATTTCTTATTATGTGTACCAACAGTGCTGGAACTGACTGATGATGTTGATGGCCTTAGTTCGAATCCCCAGAATGCTGTTCTTGGACTTGGGTTGTTCGGGACGTTTCTGTTCACTTCTCTCCATTCTAAGGGCTCGGGATTTTAGATAATCGTACTGCGTTTATACGGTGCTTAAAACCATGTCATATCATGTTATCAGATCTCTTAATTTCCAAGGGATGCAATTACGGCTGTAACTAAGCTCATTCCCTGATTATTTCCCTTAGTCTTTACACGTGAGTGGTATCAACGTGTCTTTCAAGTTCAAGCTGGTCGATGGTAAAGTCCTCTGATCATATCTTGATTCACCCCTCAATCTTCTTAATCCTCCGAATCC